CTCGACGATTAAAGCTTTATACCTGGGAACAAGTTTGTGCTAAGGTTAACTGCTTTGTGGGAGTATCAACATCTTTGGAAGGCCACAAGTATTACTCAAATACGAAGAATATCGTATCGAGCAAACGCTTTACAGTTCTACCACCCTACTCAAACAGATTCCAGATATCTAAGCTGTTAGCAAGAAGCAAATGTGAAATCACTCGAGAAGCGCTTTCGAGACGTCGCGGTCCCATCTAAATGGCGCTCCTCTGTATAAAGCTAAAATCGTCTAGGCACAGTGGAAGGTAGGGTTCTTTTACTAAACATGTTCACAGAATCTCGAATGAAGTGACAGTAAGAAATATTTTTACTGTTAAAATTCTGCCAGGGTACCCTATATTTTTGAAACAGGGATAATCATAACGTAACAGTAGATTTCCGCCTCCCATCCCATCCTCCCTTGCTTTATAACGCCATTTTTCAGATAACCACCCGATAGGTTTCGGAGGCAAATTCCAGATCAGCGTCTCAAGACAAAATAATACTGCACATGTCATCCACTGTGGTTTAGTATAGGGCACTCGGAACCATAACTTGAATTCAGCACGCACTGAAGCCACAATCCACTTGATTTCAGGAAACAATATGGCTTAGAAACTTTTATAAGAAAATTTGAAAATGCACTCAATTTCAAAAGAATAGGGGCATCGTGGGTAAGAGGATTTCAGCAGTAGAAATTCCTTCCTGACATTAATTTGAGATTCTGTGGGCATTCCCTGTTCGGGAGTAAAGCTTGCTTAGGTAGTTTTACCTTATTCTTTTTAAGCCTTTTGGCTTGTATATATGTGATTGCAAATCGGTGGCTTTGTAATATTTATTGTGGTTCGTACAAATGCCCCGTATCAGTGGCTTTTCGGCTATTTATAGCCAGCCTGCTGATACGGGGGGACAAACGACCCCCTATCAGGGGTCAAAAGGTCGCAAGGGTCACGCAGAGCGAGATAGCATGCTTAGAAAAGTACCATACTTCGGTAGATCTCGACGATTAAAGCTTTATACCTGGGAACAAGTTTGTGCTAAGGTTAACTGCTTTGTGGGAGTATCAACATCTTTGGAAGGCCACAAGTATTACTCAAATACGAAGAATATCGTATCGAGCAAACGCTTTACAGTTCTACCACCCTACTCAAACAGATTCCAGATATCTAAGCTGTTAGCAAGAAGCAAATGTGAAATCACTCGAGAAGCGCTTTCGAGACGTCGCGGTCCCATCTAAATGGCGCTCCTCTGTATAAAGCTAAAATCGTCTAGGCACAGTGGAAGGTAGGGTTCTTTTACTAAACATGTTCACAGAATCTCGAATGAAGTGACAGTAAGAAATATTTTTACTGTTAAAATTCTGCCAGGGTACCCTATATTTTTGAAACAGGGATAATCATAACGTAACAGTAGATTTCCGCCTCCCATCCCATCCTCCCTTGCCCTTATATAGCCGTAGGAGTGTCATCGCAATTATCCTATTGCAAAACATTGATAGCTCAAGCCCTGCGAGCAACCCAGATTTCTTAGCGGCTTGTTTATTCAATTCCATTTAGCTGCCTTATAACTCACTTCCGACTGGATCCCTCGGGACGTCAAACGAACACCTGGACGACCGCCGGCCCGATGGTCAGACTTCTTCACGAAAGCTCTGAACGAAAGGAATGAACTTTCGTGTCCCTCGAGCGAGGAGGATCCACTGGACCACTCTAGCACGCGACAGGGACGAATGGAGACGTTGCTGGCGCCCGCTCGAGCAAATCGACGATCAACGGGACGACGATCAAGGTGATAACACACTTCATTTTGCGGGTGGACGGACAGACATACATACATACTGGCATACATACAATCGACATACCAAGTAAGCGCTTCACAAAATAAGGGGATAGTTTCCCGAAATAAGATAACTATGGATCCTCTTTTGGATACTGGCCCGGAACAGCGTCTTCAGCTTGGCGCTGTACTTTTGAAACGTCTGAATAATGGCCATTGCGACCTTACGGGCTTTTCTTGTTAGCAGATACCGTAGTGGTTCTAACAGATACGCTACGAAGGCGAAACCGTATCATATGAAAGATAATGTTCTGAAATCTCCAATTAATTCGCATTGGAGAAGAGTGTGACATGTGCTCAAGCATGGCGACGGAAATCCAAATATGATCTTCTTCCACAATGAACTTACACCATGATCACTTATCTCAGGGACATTCCCTTGAAAATCCGCCGATTGAAACCCGTAACCACGGAATACTCAGAATGAAAAGGCTTTCTGAATTGGTTTCAATTAGCTGAAGTTTCAAAGGAAATAACGATCAGACCCCCCGAGCAATAATTGAGACAACCGAACTTTTCGCAGCCATGTACTATTGTTTCGCATGGCACATACCCTCCCCTTCAAAAAGCGGTTACAAACTTCTGTCAACCAGGGGGTGAGAGTGTAGAAGGAAAAGCAGACGTTCTTTGTGGTAGTGGGACTAAGCCTTTTGAAGGAGGTAAAGAAAGCGGAGATTCTGTAATAGTGCGCTTGTGTGAGAGCTCCCAGACAGCACAACAAAACGCTGAATTGCCTAGCCTCACGGTTGACAGATGTCCGGAGACCTCAAAAAGCGAGAAAGTGTCGGGTGCAGACCATACCACAAGTGACGACGGCCTCACAAAATGTAATGTTTTCTGCCAATGAAATGATTAGCCTGTTGCAGTTGTATTCTATCAGTTGTCACTAATTACAACTATCATTTACCAAAAATCAGCTATCACTATGAACCACTACTAACCAGATTTACTTGGAGGCCGTCGTCAGTTGTGGTGTTTGGTCTGCACCTCACACTTTCTGACTTTTTGAAGGGGAGGGTAGGTATCTTCCCCAACTCGCAATCCATTCCTCTTAGTGAACGGCTTTTTTATGAACATACATAATTCGTTCCGACTCCCAAAGACGAGGGAAAAAGGGATAGAAGTTGGTGAAGGAAGTCGAATGCTATTTGTGGGTAGCATGTACCGAAGTTAGCGCAGTTTTTCACCAAACCCCTTGAATGAGTTCCGAAACTGCCCTAAGACTTGGATAGGAGTGTACAGAGGTTTGCCTCGAGGAGGAAAATCATTTGCTCTCAAGTGATGGAGCGTGCGCACACCGAGGTGGCCACGAATATAATCCGAAAATCGCAGAATGGTTCTTCAAAAAAAAATAGCCAGAAAAGAAAGCGAATGGAGACTATCGAGCGAGGTTCAAACTCATATGGTGGGCGTAGTAGTCGCGGACGGGTGGAGCCAGAGTTTACTAGTTAGTTGCCCTGTTCAATACAAATATCATCCGGTGTGTACGAGCCATTGTGCGAACTGATACATCAGTCGTAACCAAAATAAACGGGTGCAGCGGCGGTGACCTGACGCAACGCTCAGAGGAAAACATGATGGCTTTTGAACTTCATCAACCTATTAAAGCAACAGTCCAGGAACGAATTTGCGGGCCAAAAGCACCTATATGGAAGTTTTAGGTGAAAAGTGGTCGAAC